CACCGGAAACAATCAGCCGCCCTTGAAAGGCACAAGAAGCATGGTGGCATCGTCGTGATAACATGCGTGACATCTGTGTCCAAGATCCAGTACCTGGATCGTAGCATTCAACAGACCCATGAACACTCTCTTCTCCACTGCAGTCCTGTGCAAACTCATCATTCAAACCTCCACACACGTAGAGTTTGCCACCTAAAACGGCTGCTGAATGGCCTTCCCTTTTCTTTTGCATAGAAGGCATCGATTCCAACTTTCCTGTTGTTTTGTGAAAGGTGAAGGCTGCACTTGTCATCCTTCGGAGTGTTCCACCAAATCCGCCACCGCACCTGAACAAGGTGTCTCGGCTCTGTGTTTGAGCAGGCTGGCAAAGGGTCAAGTCTCTGGCAGGCGCAGCATTCAAGCGCAGGGTTCCAGGTACAGGGTGCCATTCCCACATTTTCTGGGAGAAGCCCAGAAAAATACCTGGAAGCAACTGCGGGTTCGACTTTAACCCCAAGGACAAGGCCTTGCAAGTGTGAAATAGCTCCAGAGCTAGCATTTGGCCACCATACTCCACGCACTGTGTCAAAATATGCTCGGACTGAACTGCTTTCTGGAAAGTTGCCGTCATTGCACCAGGATAGGTGCGCCGCATAGCCTCAAATCGCTCTTTGTGGAGTTCCTGCAAGAATGCTTGACGAGGAATTTGACCACATGCATGGAGACACTTGCATAGGGTTGTCAGTGTGATCTGCATTTCGAAAAGGTCCACAGCAGTTGCAGACAGGCAAGGAAGACTGGTACTTGACATGGCTAAGGCTGAGATATGCTGAGATGCCTTTGCTGGTCACTTTTGAGCACAAACGGAGCTGGCAATGCAAAGAGCTCACAGCAGCTTTTTGCAGGGGCCACGGGGGAGGATTTCAACCCTCTTGAACTGCTTGTGCAATTCAAAGCAAAAGAATCAAAAGAATCAGATTGCTCTCAGCTAAGCACGCCAACCGTTTTTCAAGCTGTTCCTCTCAAACGATCCCTCGTTTTCACTGGTACCGTGCATCCATCTTGTGATTAATTCGGTGATTCAAATGCATGCTGTCGAAATGCAACTGTCCTTTTCTTCGGCCCAGCGCCTTGGAGCAATGGAGTGCAGCACGGAATGGTCTGAAAACTGTGGCAGCCGACCAATGATGTCAAACTGCTAGTAGTACAGTAGCAGTAGCATAATATCTGATTCAATCTTCCAACTCGTGCCAATCCTAGGGTCCCGGTTCTGGATGTCATGAATTCTCTATTCGTGTCTGATGGGCCGCTCTTTTTGTCTTGGTACGGTGCTTGCCTGGAACAAGACCAGGCCTTAGGTCCAGGCCCTTTCTCTTCTGCATGCTGCTGCCGCAATGCCTGGAAGCTACACTGTCGCTTTTAGCACTCTGATCTCGCTGTCTAGTGATCCAAGCTCGGCAGCTCTGCCTTCTCCCTGCGAACGAGCTCCTGCACGAGCTCTCAAGATGAGCGGAGACATCTTTCTCTTACACAAAGCAGAACACAAAGCCAACATGGCAACCTCCGAAATCCAAAAGAGACCTCTGGCAGCCCCTCTCATCCCTCTCCGAGACCTTTCAAGACACTCCGCTCTATTTCAACCAGTCCTGCACTTTCTTCTGAAGCTTCTCGTGGGTGTCACGTTCCGAGGTGGCCGCCCCCCTGTTAAAGTGGGCCAATCACGTGATGAGCTGATGCCAACAGAAAAAGGAAGGATCCAGGGTTATGTTGGGCGATGGCAGCCATACATGGCCAACCATCAAATAGTTCTTTTTTGAAAAAAACAAGTGGTAAAAAAAAAGCAAAATAACAGCAAATGAACATGCAAAAAACAAAGCAAAAACAAAGCAAAAAGCAAAAACAAAGCAAAACAAAAGCAACTAACAAAGCAAAAACAAAGCGCAATAATAGGCAAAAAAAAATGCCAAAGGTAAAGCAAACAAAAAAGCAAAAAATGTAGCTGTGCGTATTTGTCGCTTTATTTTCACTTGTGTTTCGCTTTATTTTCGCATTTTGTTCGCTTTATTTTCGCATGTTTTCGCTTTTTTTCCTAGGAGGGTACAGCAAAAACAAAAGCGAAAAAAGGCTGTAACCTCCTAGGAGAAAAAAGCGAAAGAAAGCGAACCAAATGCGAAAATAACGCGAAACAAATGCGAAAATAAAGCGAAAAAAAAGCGACTAATACGCACAGCTACATGTTTTTGCTTTTTTGTTTGCTTTGCATTTTGCTTTCTTTATTTGTGTTTCCTTTGTTTTTGCTTTATAAAACTATTTTGGCTCCTTGTATCTGTGGCTGGCGTGCCCGACATACAGTAAATCCAGGACAGGTAATCAAAGAAGCAAGGTCCCATCAGGTCTAGTGCATGGCATGGAGAACATATGAGAAAACATCAATTATATAATACATTTACGGTATTTACACTTGAACCTTGAGCTTTTCAAAGCACTGAGGTCCAAGCTTTCAGCGCCCTGGCCTCCTTTCGCCAGGCAACCGCCTGCCCATGACATCATGGCTGTGACTCTCATGACTGTTCATATCAACTTGCCACAACCCAGTTGTATAACCTGGTGCACCAGCAATGGCCTTGCGAAATTCATCCTGAAGTTGAAGCTCACTTGCAGAAGCCATCCAGCAACACAAGGGATGAAAAAGGCATAACGCTGCAAATGAAAGCGTGCAATGATGGTGTCCTGTGCTTTTTGAAAAAGCTCCTCCAATCCTTGGACTGACTTTGGGAGATCAGGCGATTGAGCACTGGAGATAAGAAACAAAGGCAGCTACAAAGGCACGATCTCGAACAACTGAACAATCCACAGCACAACCACACAACTTTTCCTGAGATTGGATCGTCGTTTTTGTACATTGGCCTGCCCAACCATGCCCAATATATAGGTTCTATACAACCAGTCTCCAGTGTGCTACATTGCGCTGCACGCCTCTTTACGAAGCTCTTGTCTTGAGATTTGGAGAAGCCCTTCCTGGCTGAGCACACTGACCCAACACTCGTTTGAGGCAGTGAGTCGTTGGCTTTGGGGGACCGACGACCTCTGCTCGAAGGCTTGCCTGGAACTGATTCTTGCAGGCACACTGCTCTAAAGCTCACCAAACAACGGTTGGGAAAAAGAATCTGTGCTGGCTGTCATTGACCCGCAGCACACCAACAAGAAGCCTTGGCGGCACCAACCTCAGTCCCAAGCAAAGTGTATCATTTTTGTACACTTGCTTGCTCAGAGCTTGATCGTAAGTGCCAGGCAGCCTGTGCTACAAAGCACTCGCTCCGGTGCCTTCACGGAGATATATTCCGGTGACACCCTACTGCTCTTGAAATGTCTTGACCGATCTTGGTGCAAGAGGGGGACACTTCTTTTTCTTTGTCCATAATGCGCTCGCTCTTGGCCTTAGTACAAGCGCGTCGTCTCCTTCTTCGAGCTCCAAAAAAGTTGTGAAGGACCCCAAGACGGCGGCCTTCACCAGTTGGTAGATCGTCGCCTCCAGAGGAGGGCAAATCTCTCATACCACCGTCGGGCCGCATGTTTTTACAACCCTCCCCGCGAAGCGCTTCGGCGCCAAAGCACAGTCGCAAGTCTGACAAGCAATCTGGCCCCACCAGCTCATTGGCCACCAAACTGTCAGCAGCGTCACCCCAAGCCTCTACAAGTTTACATGCAACTTTCTCTGAGACTTCCTAAAATGTGTCTTTCTACCCACCTCTTACACCAAGACCGTCACTCCGCTGCTCGGACTTTTACTTTGCCAATATGAAGGTGTGGCCTCCATTAAACCGTAAAGACTGTGGGAGGCGCTTCACGCGGCGCTAGGGAAGATGCTGCGGCCCAAATGCGGCTCGCTGCCGCATGGATCTGTGCTTGTGCCAAATCCCACTTCTGGGCGTCCATGGCCTCATCGATTCCTGGAAGTGTCTTTGGAGCGTAGCCTGTGTAAAGCCCTGGTGCTTGTAGGCAGTGCCGAAACCATTTGCGCCCGGGCAGGCCATCTGGCAACAGGAACGATCTCTCAAGAAGGCCCAAGCGTTCATTCAAAGCTGTGACTTCCTCCGGTGGGGCCTGGGGGCCCATTCGACTCAATCGGTGGACCTCAGCCATGGCACGGGCGGCAGCAGATTTGAACGCAAGACTCGCATCCTCCAAGGCGGTAAAGTCAAGTGGGACGGATCTGTTTCCTTTGACACGTGAAATGTATCCAGCAATCGCCTCAGCCTGGATGCTGAGATTCAATGGAAGTGGTGCTTCCACATTGCTCCCGGACAAGCGCAAGGCGATTAAACCCCAGACTTGCGCCATAGCAACGTGATAAGTAAAGTTGGGGTCTCCTTCTGTGGCCATCCAGGTGAAGGAGTCATAGACCGAATGGTAGACTCCGTATTGAGCATCCTTGGGGGAAAATGCAATATCAAGCGACGGAATGCCAAGGTGGTCAATGAAAATTGTGTAGTCGGAGCCTGAGCCGAGGGAAAACAACTTGCCACCCCAGTGCTCCGAAAGAGGCTTTCCAGAATCTGGATGTGGGACATGACCAAGAACCTCTGCAAGAAGCTGTGCCAGTGATGGAGTTCCAGCTGCTCGAAAGTGTTGTCCCGACACCCCGGTGTCAACATTCACATAGGCCAAGGCTCGGCGCAAAAGGTCATCCTGTACTTCGCCCCAGGCAGTGGAACCTAACAACCCGTATTCTTCCCCACTCCATGAGCACAAATATATGGTCCTGAAAAGAGACAGGAATATTGAAAGGGAACACCATGCCACAATACCGTTCCTGAAGATTGCAACCCTTTCAAACATCACTCTAGAATGTACGTAGCTACACACACACACAATCACACACACACGCACATGTTATCTGAGTCTTGCGCCGGATCTTTTCGGTCCAGACTGAACCCACCAAAACCCGTCCTAAGAGGCTTCCAACCCTCGCGCAAGAGCTTGCCAAGTCCACGGACGACCTCCAAGAGCTGGGCAGTTCCACTGTTCGGATCGGCTGCTCCATAGACCCAGGCATCTCGATGGTTCCCGAGAACGACGGGTTGATCGAGATCCATTGGTAAGGTGCCAGGGATCTTTCCGATGACGTTCCAAACGGGTGATGATTGAAAGCGGTTCTCAACTTTCACCCTCACCTTGTACTGGTCTTTTGTTGGGCCAAATCTGTAGGTAATGTTCAGTGCTCCCCGGAAATCGTTTGGCGCTACTTTGCCCCCTAAGGACTCCAAGAACACCAAAGCATCTCCATAAGAGATGGGCAAGACCGGAATTTGAGGAATGAGCTCTTTCGCACTAAGGCCACAAAGGGTCTCCACATCCATGCCGTGCGGGAAGTATGCCCTGGTTGGATCTCCTGCACATAGAGATATAAATTGGATGGAGCCACGCTGTACACTGCTCTTTGGGCGCCACGGCCCATATGGGTAGACACTGCCTTTTGCATAGCCATCTTGTTCCGGATCAGAATAGATGATCGCCGCACGAGCGCCAGCTTTCTGGGCGTTCATCGCCTTCAAACCACGAAAACACTTGCCATAGCGCATCAGAACGATGCTGCCATTCACATTCACTCCAGCTGCCTGGAGTGCCTCAAAATCCTCTGGCAAACCAAAGTTGGCATAGACAATAGATGCCAGAACATCTCCAGATGGTGAGTAGCCATTGAAGGTGTGGTTTCTCCACCATGTGTGTGATGTTGGATCTGACTCTAGCGTGTCCTCTGCCAGAGATGCTTTAGCAACCAGTTGTCCAGAGTTGTCGTGGAGCTCCAAAGCACTGCTGACAGGATAGGTCAACAAGACCTTTTGCGGATCTAGCCGAGCCTCAACTCCTTCTCTCTCGAAGGATTCCTTCACATACTGAGCCATGTCTAAATCTCCAGCAGTGCCTGCTACGTGCGGCTTGCTTGTAATGAATTTCAGTGATGCACGCGCGGAGGCATTTGATGGCACGGCTAAGAAGGCAGCCTCTTCCCAGGTGAGAGCCTTGTTGGACCTGTGACGCAAGACTTCCGAGTCAAGTTGATGATACGATGACGTGTCGTCCAACGTGCATCCGTGGCCAAGCCGCCAGAAGCAAAGCATGGCCACCATGGCCTTCGCCATGGCCCTCGCCCCAAGCGCCCCCTTCATGGCCTCAAGCGTGGCGTGTACTTGTGAAAGTTCTGCAGCACGCAACGAGATTTCTTCGGACCCCTCCTCAACTTCAGATAAAGGGTACGCGACTGGGTGGCAAAACGAGAAGACATTGCACACTGCGCCGCGCTTGCTTTCTTGCCAGTGGCATCTTCTGATATTTGATATTTGGAGTCCTCTCTTTGGATGCTGAACTCAGAGCTACACTGAATGCTATATACAATTTCAGGATTCCCCTGGAAGTGAGACTGGATTGTTTTGCTTTTGCAGGGCAACTGAGGATGCAAAGGGCTGGCGTTAAAACATGTTAAAACCAGCTCTCCGCAGATTCGTCAATCAAACATGAAGCTCTACACACGCTCATCTGCACAAGAATGTCTCCAGCGTCTGTAGACAGAAGCCACTCAGAAGTAGCCAGATTCGGATGATTTGCGAACCACTGGACCTGCCCTGGCTTGAGCTTGTCCTTGCAGCATATCGCAACTGATTCTGCATGTCTCCACATCTAGTAGCTCCCATGCCCATGTGTTTCCAGTGAAGGCTTGGATGCATCTAGCATGGAGGTTCATGGCCCATTATGGGCCAATTTGCAGTGCAGTGGCTGTGGATCTCATTCTTGTACTGGACAAAGGCTTTCTTGAGAATACCCGTTTCACCTGGGAATGCTGGAGCTAGGTAACACTGGAGCACTGCTTTCAGAAGCCAAGGCACCAGTGTCCAGGTTCCTGACCAAGAACCTGGGGTAAAATATTGAAGAAACGAGATGCAGCAATCCAGTCTTGCGAAAGTTTGCCACGAAAAGCTGGTGTCGAAACATGGCAGGCGAACTGAATGAGAGCAAAGGATTCTTCCCTTTACATGAATGTGAGGCCACGGAAACCAACGGGACACCCACAAATGCCCACACAAACAAGAACCCTACATGGCCATGTATGCAGAAACAGTTGCAATCTCTATTACCATACTGTCAGGCAAAGCCAACTACAGCCACCAAGCTACGGCAGAACGTTGCCTTCATTGCGCTCCTCTGCTGGGCCTATGTCGCCCTGGAAAGCTGCCTGGGAGAATGCTGCTTGCATTGTGCTTTGCTCTTCACTGTTCCAATGTGAGAGTCATGACACGTCGCCAGAGTTTGTGCCGCCAAGAATCCCCGCTTCCTCCTGTCGACACATGGGAGCAGTTTGAGGCAATCAGTCTGAGGTCGACGCAGTGTATCGTCATGAAGACTCAGCTTGCAAAAGAAATAAACTATATTATATACATGAAAAAACACACACACACTTCGAACTTCGAACTTGGGTTTTCAGTTAGACTCAATTGCCACGATGGGAAGGAAGGTGATGGAACAGCAAGGCGAAAGGGTCCGGTGACTTGTATTGT